CTAAGAGCTTAATTTCATTATAGTGCCAATTTCCTCTATTGCACCTCACTCCCACCTGTCTACTTAGACAAATACGTGTGAATAATTTCCAACTTAGCAGTCTCCTATTTCCCACTGACTAAATGAGATTAGATATGCAAACACAAGTCTGAGAATCACTTTATAGTCCAATATAATAGTTACTTCCCCTGTTTATTGCCCTGAAAACTTAAGTAACATCATTTTTGTGCAGTCTGCTTTACTCCAAAGGTGATTTCCCCAAACTGTTTTGTGTTTAAATCACATTTCAGCTGCTTTCCCTGCCTTCCCCTGATCCAGGTTCCTTCCTCTATGCTGGTTAACTGGCATTGTGACTACAGTAGAATAGTCATTTGCTTTTCTATCACATTAAAGTATTCATAGACCTGTAGGTTGGCATAGCCTCTCTATTAGGCTTTTTAGGAGATTCTAGAACCTTTAATCTCTACATCAGTCAAAGAGGCAAGACTTTTTTTTAAAGGATTACATTTATTTAGGAAAATGCAATAGGTATGACCATTTTCTTCTTTCTCTTTCTTACAAGATGAAAACTCATTCATAGTAAATCTGTCACTTCTCTACCTTACCCACTTTGGGTTTTGCAATCCTAAGTGCTCTAAAAGATGGATATTCTGTCATAAAATGATATGTTCACACAAGAAAATTTAGGGTTACTTCTTGAAAGAAGTTGAAGAGGTATTGAGTACAGCCCCATCCAGGTTATAAAGAAACAAGCGCTCACCTTGTCTATCACCAATTAGTTGGGAAGCTATAATACTTCTATTACTATTACTACTAATAATAATGATAGCCAAAATTTTTGAGCCAATAATAAGGGCAACAATAATAACAAACATTTATTGTTCACTTGCCTCATTATAGAGACAGTGCTAAGGGCTTTGCTTACATTATCTTTATAATAAGTCTTAACTAAGCCACCATTAATGATGCCAGAATCTTCCATTATATGGCAGGTCAAGATTCCAGCTTGTAAAATCAGGCTTTAATTCAGTTCTTTGACTTTGTACCAATAGTCCTCAAACATTTTGGTCTCTAAATCCCTTTACACACTTACAAATCAGGATTAAAAGAGTTGTTGTTTATGTAGGTTCTATCTATTGGTATTTCTGTACTAGAAATTAAAACCCAGAAATTTAAAGAACTGATTATGTGCTAATTAAAACTGGTCATGTGTTTTATGAAAGATAACTGAATCTTCAAAAAAAAAAGGAAGAGAAGTGACTTTTTTATTTTTTGCAAATCTTTTTAATGTCTGGCTTAATAGAAAATAGCTAGATTCTCATATCTGCTTCTGCATTCTATCTGTTGCAATTTGTTGTTTTGGTTGAAGTATATACAGGAGAACCAGCCACATGCAGATAGGTAAATGGATCAGGGAAGATTATTTTAATAAAGACTTTTCATAAAATTAAGAGTATCTGTTTTGGTTGAAGTATATAAAGGACCAGCCACATGCAGATAGGGAAATGGATCAGGGAAGATTATTTTAATAAAGACTTTTCATAAAATTAAGAGTATTCTTCTTTGATACTAATCCAAACTCTACAAGTGGTAGTTTCTTAAAGTTTAGGTGACATGTGGAATCTGAAGTGTATCAATGTACACTAATAAAGGTAAGTGCTATAACTTTTGAAAGGTAAAAAATAGTGCAACCTGCCGAAACTGGTGTGGCTCAGTGGATAGAGCGTCGGCTAGGTGACATGTGGAATCTGAAGTGTATCAATGTACACTAATAAGGGTAAGTGCTATAAGTTTTGAAAGGTAAAAAATAGTGCAACCAGCTGAATCATGAGTAGACATATTTATGCCTTAATTACTTCAATAATGTCCTTCAAACCTGAGACAGTGCAACCAGCAGAATCATGAGTAGACATATTTATGGCTTAATTACTTCAATAATGTCCTTCAAACCTGAGACAAAGAAGAGACCAATGATTATTTCCTCCCCATAGAGAAGATGGAACTGTCTCTGAAGTCACTGAGAGCTCTGGAATTAAATAAGTATATCTGTGGTCCTAAAGTTAAATATGCTATCTTCCCCTTGAATACATTGAAATAAATAAGTGCATGGGTATGGTGGGTGCTTTCTTAAATTTTTTCTCTGACCATTCTGTTTAAAAGAACTTTTTATATATTTACTTGGGATAAAATATGTTCTATTTTCTAAAAATGAAGGAAGGGCCACTTTAGTCTGGTCACTGAGATCACAAAGCCTCATTTGTTTATATGTGAACTATGAAACTGCATGCTTCTTCTTTTTATAAACTAAGCACTAACATGAATAAGAAATACATTTTTGCAGCATTTGCTTTTTTCTTCTCTTTTATTAGTATGCTTTAATGGTGCTTCTATTGCTTTGCTAAACAGTGAGATCATTTTATTTCTACTTGAAGATATTGCAAGAGTCTTGTCTACATGTAAACTTTCAACCTATTAACTTGCATTATGTTTCCATGCCAGTAAGTCATTCCTAATGATTCACATTGACTTGAATACAACTTTATTTCTTGAGGGTGGAGAGGGAATATTTACATATTTATATATATAATTTTATTGGGAGAAATATTTTACTTGTAAATAAATGTATTCCGTATGATTTTTTTGTTTAAAGTAACAAGTTAAACTCTTTTACAAGAAGTAGAATAGTCATCATGATTTCTCTGAATATAGTTGATTTTTATTTTAGACCATTAAGAGATCCACCCAAAATTTTTTGTTTAGATTCTTCTTCCCAATGTGTGTAAGGGTATGGGGACAGGTAGAATAGAGTTATAGAAATTTCACAAAAAATAAACTTACAGTAAAGCATTGGTTCCCCTCCACCTTGTTTTGTTCTTAAACTAGTACCAGGCACATCAGAGCCAGAGATAAATCCATTTGAGTTACATGCCAGTCTGATACATTTGTGGTGGTGATAGCAGTTTTCTGTTCGCCCAAGACCCAAGATTTTATATAGTGTATTTTAACAATGCAACTCCAAGAATAAAAAAAAAATGTTGAAATATCCTAACCTTAGGAAAAAAACAAATGTATCAACATTAGGAACTGTTCCAGAAATAATTCATTGAGGGGGAGGGGAGAGAATTTATGGGAACAGAGCCATTACATTTTTTACTTTAAAACTTTATTTTATCGATTTTAGGAAGTTAGATTACCTTACATTTGAGCTCACATTTTTAAAAAGAAAATAAAACCATATGGCTAGTCAAGAAAATATGAACACTGACACCAAATACATATTGTCTTTTCCAACACCGATTATCCAACTCTGATTCTCTTACACCAACTGTGTCTTACAACTCAATCCTATTGTGACACTACTCAGAGTTATCATCAGACTCTTCAGGTTGAAGGGCTCAGTCCCACAAGACTGCCCTCACTTCAGACGTGGATCACCGGAACGGGGGCCCCTGGTTACATGACTTCTGTCTGACTTAACTACAGATTCAAGGGTACTCACAACCTACTCTGACTCTAGTTTGATAATTTGCTAGAACTCAGAGAACTCAATAAAATGCCATTCTTAATATTACAGTTTACTATAAAAGATAAAAATGAACAGCCAAACAAAGAGGTACATGGGGGTAAGGTCAGAAGGGTCTGGAGCACAGGAGCCTCTGTTCCCATGGAGTTGGGGTGCATCATCCGGCCAGCACGTGGATGTGGTCACTAGCTTAGAAGTTCTCCAGTCCCCTTTGTTTAGGGGTTTTTATGGAGCTTCCATTGTAGGCACAATGGCTTAAATTACTGGCTATTGGTGATTGAACTCAGTCTCCAGCCTTTCTCCCCTCTTTGGAGATGGTGAGAGGAGGCAAAGGGCTGAAAGTTTCCTCCTATCACAGCTCCATCCTGAAGCTGTCTAGGAGCCTACCAAGAGTCACCTTATTATCATAAACTCAGGCATGTTTGAAAGGGGATTGTCAAGAATAACAAAAGATGCTCCTATTACTCTTACCACTCAGGAAATTCAAAGGGTTGTAGGAGCTCTGTGCAAGGGACCAGGAACAAGACCAAATACATGTTTTAGTATACCACAACTGGGTTTCCTCTAAGTGGAGAAGAGGTTACAGAGGTAGGGCAAGGAGAGAGATTTTCTCTGTCATGCTGAACATTCCTGAATCTCTTCCCTAGCCACATCTAACATTCAGGTATCTATTGCTGCATATCATTATTACCCCCCAAACTGGCTTTAAACAACAAACAATTATCTCACCATTTTGGAGAAACAGGAATCTGTGCCCAGCTCAGCGGGGTGCCTCTGGGTCAGTGTCTCCCACGAGGGGTCAGTCAAGCTGTCGGCAGGGCTCCGGTCTCACCTGAGTGGAGCGTCCCCTCCCAAGCTCACACATGAGGTTGTTGGCTGACCTCTGACCTCGCCACTCGGACCTCTCCCAAGGGCTCTTCACAGTATGGCAGCTTGCTTTCCCCAAAGAAAGTGATCCAAGTGAGAGAGAACAAGAAAGACCCCCTGGAGATGGAAGCCACAGTCTTTTTATGACTTAGTCTCAGAAGTGATATCCCATTACTTCTGCCAAATTCTGTTAATCAGACATGTCATTAACTCCAGTCTGCACTCAAGCACAGGGCATTGCACAAAGGCATGAAGACCAAGAGGCGGGATCATGGACACCTATCTTAAAGGCTACCTACCACACTCGCCCAAACATAATTAATTGGACCTGGTAAATGCTAAGAACCACAGGACGACAGATGAGAAAGGAGATTATAAAGACATTGATCTGGGTGGTTTGCCACTTTTACTTTCTAAAGCCTCTCCAAAGCTTTGCTCAAAGTATTCTCGTTGCTCAAAACCTATTTAATTTTATTGGCAGTGGCTGGATCTCAGCAAGAAAGCTGTATGCAATCAAAGATGTGAAATCCCAATGGAAGGAAGTCAGTTTAACTTTACTTACTTACTTACTGTCCATTGGTAACAGTCTCACATGCCCATCTCTTTAAAGGGTGAACCCGGTTTCATTGGCCCTCAAGGGGAGACAGGCTTGCCAGGCTTACCGGGAACAAAGGTGAGTGGAATCTTTCCCTTCCTTTCTTTCTGAATTTTTCAGTCATAAAATTGTTGTCCATTGTGTTGAAAGAAATAGGGGGTAACTTTACTATTTAGGTGACCATACATGTTTGCCTCATAAAGAATAAAAGCAGCCTGTCACCCATTCTAACACTTCTAATGGGGGCCCCGTATTAAATAGAGTAACAGGAAGTTTAATGTTAGAAAGCCTTGGGCAAGACAACAGGAAGGTGGGATATATTAGTGTTCCAGTTGTCCCCCAAATTGCTCCTAAATTGATGTGGTGCCATTAGCTTCCTGGCCATATGGAAAAGTGGGGAAATTCTGAGGAGGGGAGATAGAACTCATTAACCCTCCTCCTTATCGCTGATTTTAGGACAAACTTGTAAATCAAACATTATTATTATTCCCACATCACTCCCTAGATTTCAAGGAGTACTGATGTCATAGAGATTCCTAAGTGCCTCATCCCAAAAGGATCCATCCCGAATAACGTTTGCAGAAAGATCCTGTAATGAAAACCATCTCATGATCTTCCATTTGGCAACCCTAGAGAGGGCTCTAAAAGCACAGTCTATATGCCGCCAAATAAAAAATTATGTTGCTGCGGATACAGTCAGGCCTATCGTTCTCTTTTTATCTACCCAGTAAGACATTAAAATGTACAGCTCTGAGGAACTTTACTCGTGACAGAGTCATGAATCAAAGGAGGGGCAAAATTAAATCAAACTACATTTTTTTTATTTTTAACCCATAGCCGCCTTTGCCTCCATGTGTATTGCATTCGCCAGAAATAAACCAGGCTGATTTCCGGGAGCCAGAGAAATGTGTTCGTGGTCTGTTCTGACAGAGGCATCCTCATTCCCGCTGCTGAAGAGAAAATAACTCTAATCCCAGTAAATGGAAACTATGCGTGGCCCAAGGGGCACTGGGTCGAATGTATGCAAAATTGCTGTTTTTTCAAGCAATTTCATTTTCACATAATGAGCTGTCAGGCTTATTAACAAAATATGAGGAATGCCTGCTTTAGCCTGAACAGACTCGCACAGAAACACACTTTCTGGAAGAGAGGGGAGGTGGTGGGGGGAGAGAGAGAGAGCATTCTATGTTCATATAAGAGCCGGTGTACTTATTCAGGCTTCAGCCTCAGAGAAGGAAGGCAGCCTGGTTATAGGCTCAAAGCTCCGCCTGGTCAGTGCTTCAGAGAACCAGGCTGGAGCTAACTCATCTCTACATGTTGGTGGCATTGGATTTGCTCAGCAAGGAAATATAGAAGAAACACGGGCCGTCGAGAGGGGAGGTCAGCCCTAAATATCTCTTCTATAGTTCACCGACATTAAGCTATTCCACAGTTTCAAAAAAGATCCAGACGCGGGGCCATAAACTCACCATTAATTACTGCCCATGAGGAGCCCCGCCTGATTTTACAGACCAGATCCTCTTATCACAGACACTACTCTGAACTCCCCATAAAAATGAGGAATGTCCTGTACCTGTTTTATATTTCTACAAGAAGGATTGTAGATAGGATATTCATTTTATTAGCAATATTGTGAAGTTTATTTTTCAGCTAAATTGCCTATCATACATGAATTTGGTATCATAACGGAAAAGTCATGATTATTTAAACATTTCCTCCAGCCAAACACTAGGTTTTTTTCCCCCAGTTGTTTAGGTAATCTGGTTTTGTCCCACTCAATTCAGATTAAAAATATAAATTAATCTGTGTTTTACCCCCCAACACAGTGAAGAGAAATCATAATGAAGGAAGGTGTGAGATGGCATTTAAAAATGCTGTGTCCTCAGCATCTATGTCAGTCCTGGGAGAGACCTACAGCAGTCTAAAGAAATGGAGTGTTATTCTCAATAATTTAGAATACTTTGAGTGATAGAATGCTGTTCATTCGTTAATCCAACAATTTTTTTGCCAGACTTTTTTTTACTACCTGAGAATGAAAACTAAATGCAGCAAAAATGGTCTCTATTCTCCTGAAGCTTACCTTCCAGTATGTGTGAGGAAGGGTGGGAGGAGAGAAAGAAGTGAACAAACAAATTACGTAAATCCAGAAAGTGACAAGTAACCAATTAGGGGCATTGTAATTTTTTAAAGTGATTCTAGGTAAAGATATAGCCACTCCACTCCTATGGTATATAACAGATAAATGATTTTCTAAGGTTTCTGTTTTGCCCTGAAACAAGCTTATAGTTACTATTTTAGAATTCTGCTGTAAAATATTAAGAGAAATGCCAAATATGGTACTTTTTAAAGATAAAAATTCCATATGTCAACAGAAGTGCTTCAGTCTCTAATCCCTGGGGAAGCTCTCAGAGCATCTTTTCCGTCTGCTGCATCCCTCAAGTGCCTGCCTTTCTCCCACCTCCTCCACTGTCCCACTCCCGTTGGTTCATGCTGAGCAAACTCCTGAGTTTTCTCTCATGCCTGCACTACCCTATCCCACCTCGCCTGCAAAACCATAACAGCTTCCCAGAGAGGGACTGATACAGATAAAGGTCTTGGAATTTAAAGCCCTGTATCACCCAGCTAACACCAGACTGAATTCACAACCTGTTTGAGTACTGAATGCTGCCCATCATGCGGGAAGCCAGACAGTCTACTGTGCTCAGGGAATATAAAACGGTGGCGTCTTCCTGGAGGGTGACTTGGCAAACTTCTAATATGTTCATACTTTTTGACAATGGCCAAAGATGTTCAAAGGATCACATACAAAAATATTTCTACAGAAGTTGAAGATGGAGCACAGTTTTAAATTATTGCTCTTCCTTTTAAAAGCTTTGTGACTTTGAGAAAGTTACTTAATCTCTCTGAGCTTCAGTTGCCTCGTCTGTAAGACTGTGAATACTAACGCCTTTCTCATCTGCCCTGTGGATTACATAGGATAAAGCATGTGAAGTGTTTTGTGAAGTTCCTGCACTCATTAAGGGCATAGTCATAAACAGCAATACTTATAAAATACAACCTACTCATCCTTCAGGACATGACTCGAGTCTCACCCTCAGGGGGCCAGTTTGGACCATTAAAAACCCCCGGGGTTTCTTCTTCTCTCATATATGGCCTTATGCTACTCCTGAATTCTTAACTGTTTTGTTATGTGGACCTTGTCTAAGTAGGTCACTAGCTCCTTGGGGGCAGTGGCCATATTCATACTTCACAGAGCTGTGGAGAACGTAAAGCGGTAATACCTATGTGTCGTGTACTACATTTATAAGTTATGAGATCAGTACTATAATTTTCTGTATTTTACAGAGGAAACGGAGGCTTTGGGGACTTAACTAACTTGCCTCAAAACCCAGAACTGATAAATAACAGACCCAGGATGTGGGATTACAAGAAGCCTGGCCACTATACGTGATAAGTTATGGCCATTACAAAGCCTCAACTACTTTGCCATGCTGCATCCCGGTAGTACTGAGAAAGTGGCCGCAGAATGAAAACTATGTCTGTTCCTGACTTGAGGTATCATGATGGCCCTTTTCAGGTCCCTTTAAGGGTCTTCCATTTACTAACATAGGTGTTTGACAGGCATTTACCAATTCATGTCCTTATCTATCAAATGGAAGTGATAATGCAATGGATTGAGCAATCTGATTAAATTAGATAATTCATGTTGCGATTAATACAGTGCTGGATACATGATAAATACATGGCAATTATATGCTTTCTTTAATTTTATTCAATTTACTTATTAATCTACAGGTACCAGCTGGGGATAGGGGGGTAGAGAGGAGGGTTGCCATTTAAGGTTTTGCATTTTGTGACAGGGTGAGCGAGGGGAGGCAGGGCCTCCTGGAAGAGGTGAGCGAGGGGAGCCTGGAACTCCTGGACCAAAGGTAAGTTATTCTTACATTGGAAAATAACATTCTTTGGTTTGGAAATGTGTGCCTCTTGATTTATAACATAAAACTAAAATTTAAAATTCCTCAACAAATATTAATTTATTGAAATGCACAAATAATTTATTGAAATACACATCAATTGGTTCTTTTAAAAAATGAATTTTACAATTTAACTTTCCTAATTTTCTCTCTTTTCGATGAACAAATGTAATAACACATCCAAATGTAAAGGGGGAATTACTGTCGTTAACACATTATCACTCAATGGGTATTGAAACGTATGAGAACATGTTGATATGTGTTGTATTTAGTTTTGATAGTAACTTGATGATAACACCTTGAAATTTATTTGACTGTTCAATCTTTATTCCTCTAAACTTCCTGCAAACTAATATGGTAACACTTTATTTTAATAGCCCATCCTAGATACACAGGAAATGATTTACTCTTTGATGAAAAGGAAATTTATGCAAACACTGTTGAGACTAATGAGAATCATTCACAGAGCTCTTCCCAGCCACTGGTGGGAGGGCAGTCTTCAGTTATAGTGGAATGCAGGTTGACAGGGAGACCAGGGAATGAACCAGTGATACTGTGATGATATTTATGTTTAGTGTTTTAATAGCCAACATTACATAGAGCCATATATTATGGCAGTTAAAATGAAGTGTTTCCATTTTTATGTCACTGATCATTTCTTTTCTCTGTTCTTATGTACTCTGTCTCTTTTCTCTTTTTCATCTTCATATTCTCCTATAATAGGGGAAACAAGGTGAATCAGGAACTAGAGGCCCAAAGGGGTCAAAGGTCAGTAACCAGACAATCATTTTAATGTTACATGAGGCCTTCAAGAGCTGTGCTTTTGGCCTCTTCCACAGAGAATCATGTTTTAAATTAAACTCTTCCAATAATTTCATCCCTATGATGATATTTCAGAACAATTTGTTTGTTTCATCTTGTTTTTGTGTGTTCCTGTGTTTATGGCTATTCTTTAAGGCAGCGGTTTTCAACCTGTGGGTCACGACCCCTTTGGCGGTCGAACGACCCTTTCACAGGGGTCGCCTAAGACCATCCTGCATATCAGATATTTACATTACGATTCATAACAGTAGCAACATTACAGTTATGAAGTAGCAACGAAAATAATTTTATGGTTGGGTCACAACATGAGGAACTGTATTTAAAGGGCCAGAAGGTTGAGAACCACTGATCTAGATGTTTCTTGCATCAAAGTCTCTCTCTCTCTTCCTTCTCTCTCTCTCTTCAATCAATAAAAACATACCTTGGGGCAGTGGTTCTCAACCTTCCTAATGCCGCGACCCTTTAATACAGTTCCTCACATTGTGGTGACCCCCAATTTCACTGTTACAAATTGAACATAATTAAAACACAGTGATTAATCACAAAAACAATATGTAATTATATATGTGTTTTCCGATGGTCTTAGGTGACCCCTTCAAAAGGGTTGATCGACCCCCAAAGGGGTCGAGACCCACAGGTTGAGAACCGCTGCTCTAGAT